GAGGCTATGACCTTTTGACCTTGCGATATCCGGAGAGAAGAAAGAGATGAAAAAGACGATAGTCGAGAGAGGAAGAAGATAGAGAATACAGAGTTTACTATGGAGTCCTCCGGAAGAGTTTGTGTACAAGGAAAGAATGCGATAAATCAAGAAAGCCAAGCGCTGTGGTCTTCAGTCGGCGGATGTTGGAATTGGAAGTTGATCAAGACGACGAACACTTACACGGCATGAAGGATTGTAAGCCTGCTTTATGAACTGCTTAACTTAATCTTTAACCTAAGTAAATTAGACAATGTAAAACTAATTAAATAATAGTTAAAATGGGTAACTGCTTGTTGTTACATTTTTGTTGCGTGCCATATATCGTACTCGGGAGTCTATTTTCATATATGCTTTGTTAGCGGACATTTGTTGGTCATTCGTGCACGTAACAAAATTGGGGGCCTGTCCGGGAGAAATTCCTGTCCGGGAGTCATTTCACTGTCCGGGAGACATTTCCTGTCCGGGAGACATTTCTACTGTCCGGGAGTCATTTCCCTGTCCGCGAGTTATTTCGCTGCTTCGCAGTCATTTACTTGTCTAGGAAAATCTTTTATTACCTACTAGTTATTTCTTTTTTGTCCGCTTCGTATTTTTGTTATTGTAGTGACATGAGCAGTTACTTACAGTAATTGGTGATCCTCGTAAGAATGTAGTTAAGAACTGATTTTCTGCATTATATGAACAAAATATATGAACTTCATATATTCATTGCATATCTCATTTATCACTTTCACGGGTTTATTACGAATCAACTTAACGGCCTGCTCCCAGTTGGCTTGTTAGCTCAATTGGTAGAGCGCTGCACTTGTATCACAGAGGTCAGTGGTTCGAGTCCCGCACAGGCCTGATTTTTTTCAGGTCTGATCTTCGCTATTGCATAAATAGCGCTATTTACTGCGAGGATCGTGCATCATACGTATCTAATACCGCAGTTCAAAATATATGAACTTCATATATTCATTGTATATCTCAAAGTTGAAAGTATTACGTGGTTATCATCATGTTTTAGCAAAGCAGGGAAGAAGACCACGAACAGGCTAAGCGTCAAATATTCTAAAATGCCGGTGGATATCCGAAATTCCTTAATTATTACTTATAGGCTGAGGACTTTCGTGGAGTGTTATGTATTGTCGCGATGAATAATGTCCTCTTACAAGACCATACAGGTAAATGACTTCCATACTGACATAGAATTAAAAAGGACCATTCGTTTTTTCGGAAGGGGTCATAACATTTGAAATGAAAAGGAAATAGACCTCCGGCTAAGCACACAAGTGAGTGAATCACTTTTTTTTCTTTATTGTTTGTGTTTGTAATCAAATTGACACATATAAAATATGTTACTTTATTATCCAACTACAGTCCGTAGAGTATAAATAACGCCATAGACGAGTACAAATGCCACGCGGTATTTGTACTCCATAGAACCGGTTAGACAGGTTTCCTCGCATCGCGCAAGCGAAGAATTAAATTGAAGCCTGGACAATTTGAATCATATTTCTGACAACAAAGAGTCGGAACGGCTGGCAAACATAGATCCAAGTTAATCAGATGAATCGAACGAAGAAAAACAGTTAGAAAACCAGGAAATTGCTTTATTTATTGAAGAAAATAGAAACAGCAACACGACAACGCGCCAATTCCGTTTCGCTTCGCATACTTCTGTCACGCACACCTCGTAAAATAGATTCCATGTTGCTGTGGTTTTGTACAGTAACAGATCACAGAAGAATATAGTCAATACTTCTGTCACGCACTCCTCGTAAACAAACATCCGCGAAATTCGCCCGCACTGAAATAACAATTTGGCGCGTTGGATAATAAATAACTTAATTAGACGTTTTGTTGTATATTATCGCTGATTATTATCCAACTACACCTAGACGAGTACAAATAACGCCATAGACGAGTACAAATATCACGCGGTATTTATACTCAGCTATTGTAGAGTACCGGTTGAACAGGTTTTCTCGCATCGCGCAAGCGAAGAATTGGATTGTAGTTACCAAAAATAGAACAAATGGCGGACAATTTTAATCATATTACCGACGACGAAGAGTCAGAATGGCTAGCAAATATAGATCCAAGTTCATTAGATGAATCGAACGAAGAAAAACAGCTTGACTACCAGAAAATTTCTTCATTTAATGAAGAAAATAGAAAGAGCAACACAACAACGCACCAATTCCGTTCCGCTTCGCATACTTCTGTCACGCACTCCCCGTAAATAAATATCTGCGAAATTCGCCCTCAATGAAATAACAGTTTGGCGTGTTGGATAATAAATAACTTATTAGACGTTTTGTTGTGTAGTATCGCCGAGTATTTTTACTTGTTATTTGTATTTTGACGAGCCCGTAGGGCGAGTCAAAATACGGCACAACTTGTAAAAATACTCAGCGATACTACACAACAAAACGTCTAATAAGATTTATGTATTTTCACTCGTTATTTGTATTTTGACGAACCCGTAGGGCGAGTCAAAATACGGCATAACTCGTAAAAATACTCAGCGAAACTACACAACAAAACGTCTAATAAGATATATAACCTTACCTCCATCTCACTCCTTCCTTCGCGCCCCTTAATCTCTCCCTTCTCTTTCTTTTAAGTTCTTCCTTTCTTCCCTTCTTCCCTCCCTTTTTTGTTTGTTTGCTCATCAACAGAAATTCATTGATATCTACTGAAAAAGCCATCGGAACATTTTAGGTCTGTGCTCACCTGGGGAGTGCAACGGAGGGTTTCATCTTGCAGCACGTAACCTGAGTTTGAGTTGTACTTTATGTACTTTCCTTCAATAAAATGCTCTAAGTGAAACAAAGGTGATCCTTCTCTGTCTTTCAGTTCAATTACACAAACCTGGAAGATATCTACCTGTCGGTAAAACAATAAAGCAGTGTTATAGACAGATGAAAAAAGCAATGAAATGAAAATGGATTGAAATAAGGTGTCATTGAAATAGAATACAAAATACAGTCGAACCTACCATAAGCGACCACCCGAAATGTCAAGTCTAGGTGGTCCCTTAGGTGAGGTGGTCGCTTACCAGAGAGCAGGCCACAGGGAGTCCATATTTGGGGTAATTTGCATATGGTGACTGTACCCTTTCACCCGAATCCAATTAAAACTTAGCGGCTTATTCAAGTAAAAAAGTCTAAGGATCTATGTTGACTGTCTTGTATCTCAATTTATTCACTACAGCGTTTGGGATAATTCAGGTGAAAGAAACTTGGCTCGTTTGTTACTCCAAATGGTGCTGTCCAATTTTTTGTTGGAACGCAACACAAGTAAAATTACACATTCCGTGGCTCCACTTTTCCGGCGTCCGTTGAAACAATTTTCAGTTTCCGCTCGTGAGAGATAAACCGATTGTCTGTCAAGTGGTAGCCTACGATAGGTTAAAAACAATTGAAAATTGTAAACGAGCATGGTTAGAAGTGGTCGCTTATTATGAGAGGGGTCGCTTACGAGAGGTGGTCGCTTGCGAGAGGTTCCATTTATAGTGATATGACTTGGAAACTTTTGCTATTTTGAAAAAGTGGTCGCTAACGAGAGGTTGTCGCAAAGGGAGGTTCTACAGAATTGTAAATTTTGAGCTTAGATGTGGAATAACAAAATATACCTGCTATTCGTTTTACTGTGAGAACGAGACAAAAACGAAACTGAGTCCCCATGGGGATTCTGCTCCAATAAAAATATGCAATATTTATAAAATTTATAACATCAACAGTGTATATGTTGTAGTTCAGCTCTATACTTGGTTCAGATTTTATTTTCCTTTGTTCTCGGTCATGTTAATGTATGATAATGAGTTTGAAACAAAGGAAAATAAAATTTGAACCAAGTATAAAATTGAACTACAACGCTCCTGAAATATTTAGCGTCAAGAATAATAGCAATTCACTCTGAAAGTTCTAAATAGAGGCTGAATTTGAAGAACTGAAGCCGTACATTTCTCCTGTTTATCATTATTAAAGTGTTCCTAATATGCATGCACTTGACAGGACTGCTGGATTTTTTATTGGTCCTATAATACACTTGCAACGCTAAGAGATATTTCGACCGACACGATTTTCACAGAATTTAACACAATCGCCTCCTAGCGATAAATTTTATCATGGAACAAGCAAATGACAACAGATACGATGGCCATTCCTCCAAATGGAAACCTGGACCCCGTCCCACAACGTCCCACAACGATGGTTTTAAGGCAATTGTAAACTTTCTTGAATGTGATTTGCTGTACGAACCATACCATTATAGTTCCCAAGCTAAGACTACTAGAAATGCAAAGTATTACTATTAGCTGGATACTTAATAATCTGTCTGACAGTTTCCACATAGTTAAGCTAGTGGCAGGGGGGATTTTTGTCGCATATATTAGGACCCTTCCCCCTTTAGGCTTCCATCATGTTACTTAACTAAGGCTTTGGCGAATGTTCAACGATATGGCTTCTCGTGATGCTTTCTCCTGGAAATATATAAAAAACGCAAAGGTATCAGAGGTTTCCCATAAAGAACTGGTCTTAGGAGAAAAAAAAATTGTTGAGTCTTGACAAAGGCAAGGAATTACAAAAACATTTCACTAAGAACAAAGTTTAACTTATTCCCGTGATTGAAGAAGGCCATAACCTAGAAGCTGTTTGTTCCTTTGAGACACTGCTAGCCACCTTTCTTGAATGAAGCATGTATCCGAAGGGCTACCTACTAGTGTCCTTAAACAGCTGCCATCAGTGCATGAGAAAGATGGTCTTTTTTCTTCCTAAGAACCGCCTTGCCTCACCCGAACACCTCTAGCTATACTTTCGACCACGAGACACTGCGCCTATCCCTGTCGCTTTTTCATGATATTTTAGAGGAATCAACTTCGATCATTTGATACCGCCTTGCAAGGTCTCCCAATATATCTTTAGGCATGCCAGAAAATTTGACTAGAAATGATTTTAATGTATCATAAATGGCTTGTGGTAAACGTTTATTAAAGATAGTCGTTAGTTTTCTTTCTGTCTAAGTAACATTTTAATCGAGTCTCAGAGAGCTTTTTACAGTCGTTTTGTATACACGAAACTAGTTTATATTATGGATACACGAAATTAATCGTCTGGCTGCGATGTACATAAAATTTCTATCTTTCATTAAACGAAATAAATGATTGATGAACTTTGCTACGGTTTCATAAGCTGTAAGACCTATCGAAATATGAACTGCTCTATTGACCCGAACTGAATCCTCTAACTCAATTTGAGTAAGACTGTAGAGGGCTGATTCATTAGATTACTCTTAAAAAACGTCAACGGCCTCCACCGTTCCACGAACAACCTAATTTCTGAATTAACGAACTGTCCACTAATCGAGCCGAAAGACGAATTGAAACGGATCAATTGCGACTAAGGAATTATCGTCGCTTAGCTATCACCCGCTGCCTATCGAATCTATCATGATTTACTTATATGTATTCCTATTTCAACTCATATTTTCCGGAAGAGTGCAATTTTTAAATTGCACTCTTCCAATTGCCAACACTGCATCACCGTCAAACGGATGGATCTTTGCATTCTTTCTGGCTGAGTTTTTGTTGTTCGGAGATAGGGAAACAACGTTTATTCTCCCTCTCAAACGAGCTCTGATCTGACCAATTTGTTTCGGAATCATCTTTCCTTTTAGGCGCTCCATAATCTGTGAATAAACAAGTAAAGAAGGTGACATGAGTCAGTTTCTCTCTTTAAAATTGTCATCCAATTGTGTAAAATTCATGAGTTGCACTATTTACTATCATAATTATTGTTATTATGATGATGATGATCATCATCATCATCCTGATCATTATCATCATCATTTTTATCATTATTATCATTATTATTATTTTAAATTACTGCTCTTACCTGACTATTTCGAACACAGTGCAGGATGAAAATCAGGACACCCTTTAATAAAAGTGTAATTATGGATAACAAGTCATGTATGAATAAAGCTACGTAGAGACATCTTTGCTGAACGGAGCTCTAATTAACTCAAATTATTTTAACATATCAGACTGTCCTGAGTCTGAGAAAATTAATCAGGCTTGTAAAGGAACAAAAAGATATGGCGAAACAGAGAAATTTTTCTTTCATGGATTGAGGAACCGAAGGAATAACTCATAAGGTGAACAGAAGAATTGCTATCAAATTGACCAAATGACTGAATGATTGATTGATGGTTGGAGATAACCATGGACTGACTAAAAATTTGACGGTCAGATATCTTGATAGAAGATATCTGACCAAAATGGGACCTAGCTATGCCAATATTTTTGTAGGTTTTGTCGAACACCAATTTTTCAGCCAATACAACGGCTCCAATCCTGAACTCTACGGTCCCTACATCGACGACTGTATCGGCGCTATCTCCTCTACCAGAGAGGAGCTGACTCAATTTATAACCGCAGTCAATTCTTTGCACCCGGCTCTGAAATATACCCGGGAAATTTCTGACAATTCTTTATCCTTTTTAGACACCAAAGTTTCAATTGAAGGCAACGGTTTATGCACTAGTGTGTATTACAAACCTACAGACTCGCGTAATTACTTGTTATATTCTTCTTCGCATCCATCTCACGTTAAGAATTCCATTCCTTTTTCTCAGTTTCTAAGACTTCGTCGTTTATGTAGTGATGACTCTGATTTCCACCACAAATCAGAGTCAATGTGCCAGTTTTTCGATAAACGTGGTTACCCTGTTTCTGTCGTTCAAGCGGGTTACCACCGCGCCCAACTTATTGATCGACATTCAGCACTACAAACGTCGCATAAGGAAGATTCCGACCGCATTCCATTCACTCTCACGTTTCACCCTCACAACCACTCAGTTAAATCCATCATTCTTAAAAACTTTAAATTACTTCAAAACGATCCAGAGACAAGCACTATCTTTTCGCAGCCTCCGCTCATTTCATTCAAACGCGACAAAAACATAGGCAATTTTTTGGTCAGAAGTTCTTTTCAGACTAATGACCAACCAGGCACTTTTAAATGCGCTCGTGCACGATGCAAAACGTGTCCTTTCATTCACAACACTGATAAAATATCGGGACCTAAACGATCCATTAAGATCACCGATCACTTCACGTGCACCTCCGCCAATGTAATCTATTGCATAACTTGCACTTATTGCAAAAAGATATACATCGGCGAAACAGGCAGAAGACTAGGTGACCGATTCCGAGAACACCTTCGAGACGTGGAAAGGAATGACAAGGACACATCGAAACCAGTCGCTAGACATTTTAATTTACCTAATCATTCTAAGCAACATATGGCAATCTGCGGTCTTTCCTTACACTTAGGTAGCACGGAAAGCCGTAAAAATCTTGAACAAAAGCTCATCTTTCAAACCGGCAGTCTAAATCCCACAGGGATCAACGAACGCTTTTCATTCCACTAATTTATTCTTGTTTTTCTCGTTGCCATGTTCCCACCAATAACGTAGCTCCATTTTCTGCCTTTAAAAGCACACACAACCCACAATTCCTCTATTCGCTCCGACGAAGGGCTAACGCTCGAAACGTCAGCTTTTGTAATCGTTACGGTGGCCAATTTACCATTTCAACTTTGTTGATATATCCAAATTATTTCGTTACTCCCACCGACGCAGCCCCAAACAGTTTCTTTCGAAACTATCAGCCTTTATTCATTTGTGTTAAAAAAGCGATGAAATTCTTTACCACCATTGTGTTAATATTTCGCCTATCGCACTGTCATCGACGTGTTGCTGAAAGTATAACAGCTTCCTATGACGCTCTGCCTTACCACCACCTTAACGCTTCCTACATGCTGAGAAAGCTTGTGGAGGACATCCTCGATTGTAGCTTAGCTTGCCTTGAGAACAACCTCTGCGTTTCATTCAACCTTGCTGTTTTTTCTGATAGTGAAGGAAAACGCTGGTGTGATCTTTTATCGTCCCACGTATACAACAACACTGAAAAGCNGTATCTGATTTATCATCACGGGTTTATTACGAATCAACTTAACGGCCTGCTCCCAGTTGGCTTGTTAGCTCAATTGGTAGAGCGCTGCACTAGTATCGCAAAGGTCAGTGGTTCGAATCCCGTACAGGCCGGATTGTTTTCAGGTCTGATTTTCGCAATACATATCTGTAACCGCAGTTCAAAATATATGAACTTCATACATTCATCGTACCTCATTTCAACTTTTTTGATACATCAAATTATCTTGATAGAAGGATTGATTGATTAATGGATTTATTGATTTTTGTCTCTTTTTAAGCCTGTCAATTTTTAGTTGCAATGCCACCCTAATTTTATCGAGGAAATGCACAACAAACCTGCATAGAGTTGAGAATGGTGAAAATGTAGGTAAAAGTCTTGTGCAGTGGCGATAGAAGACCAAACGACCAAGTGATACCCAGAAGGGGAATCATCACCCCGCATGTTCTGATGCCAAGTCTAAAGGACGACAAATGATAGGTATTTCTAGATGTCAGATAACTTTGGCTCTTACAGGAAATCAAGCAAATAGATACCTTCTTGACCCTCGCACATACATTAAAACGAATACCCAACTGTTCCAGGGGGATGGGGTGGAGGAGGTGATTGTGAAACTTACGTTTCCGTATTTTGAGAATTTTTTACCTTGAATTCAACATATGTTTCGTCAACTGCAAATGGCGCAACATGCATGGGAGAGGGGTGGGAGGAGGGTGACCTCATCTAACATGGAGGACTTCTGCGTCAGATTTTTCACTTTTTCCACTGTTCTTGGTTTGTCATGGGAACAGTTACAGCCAAGCTTGACACGAAAATAGAAAATAGGAATCAGAAAGTAGATAATTGGTTTACCGTAATTCTCTTTTGAACCTAGAACCCGTAGCCAACACCTCACTTGTCATTTTCTAAGGTAAACTACTAGCTACTGAAGTGGACAGTTGCCCAGATAAAATCGTTTCGATATATTTTAATGAAAGGAAAAAAACCAGAGGGCAGAGTCGTATCCACCCCTCCCTCCTCCTCCTTCACCCCTTCCCCCACTTTCACCCTTCCCCCTCCTTCACCCCTCCCCCCACTTTCACCTCT